ATATTTCCTTTCACAAAAGTTAGTTCTCACAGATAGTCATTTAGTCTAAGCAGTAGTTCTCACTTAGGTACTACCATTACTTAACTATCTACTGATAGAATAAAATGTTTTACCATTATAAATAACCAAGTAATATAATTAAATATCCCTTAAAACATATTATAAGATATTTCTAATATAACTCCAGTGAAAGCCAGAATACATCAAAATACTGAAGAAAAAGGCTGATATTTTTTTTCCTCAACTTAATCCGTGGTGGCCTGTGCTGCTTTTTTTTTTTTTCCTGATGCCTCTTTCTGAATTTGTCTGGATCAGTAGAAGGGAATCAATGGAAATTGATCCAATTTGTAGAACACAATCCTAATATTGATAGTAGTTTATATTCATTTGCTTCACCCTAATCTTTTATTAATGGTCATTTGCAAATGCTATTTATGACATTTCTTCCAAATTTTGTACCCTCAAGGTGATGATAGTGAAAGTTAGAGAAACACAGCAAAAAATAATGGAGTGGTAAGTTTTTAAATAAAATTAAGCAGCAATTGCTGTTTTTGTAGTCAGGCATTGTTCAGTAGGTGACTTTAATTTCAGATAAAGTATAATCAGTGTAGTATTTCATATGTGAGATTCCCACAGTAGTAAGAAGTGGTGCCTGCTCAGATCTTTGCTGCATTATTTGTGTCATCTGGGAAGATGGGCTAGGGAATCAATACTGAATCATTTGGGGACTTTTAAGAATGCATCTTCAATAAGTCTTGTCATATAGACCTATCTCACTAGTACAAAAGAAGCAATAACTGACGGCTTAACTTTCTGTTGCTGGTGGAAAAAACCATCAGTGGTGACCATCACATAGAGAGCCGAGCTGTGGTGAAAATGTTTAAAACAATATTTGAGAGTAGGGTTGCACCAGCCATGTGAAAGTAGATGTGAAAGAAGATATGAGTGGTTAGTTTTAGATGTTGTAGGTGAGGCAATGAAAAGCAAGTATTTAGTATTTGGATTTTCTGACCATTTTAGAGATAATTAAAGACGTGTATGTGAAAGCATAAATTGTGTCTAGTGGCTACTGCTGTAGTCCAATAAAATGGATTAAGTTAAAGATTCTTAAGTGGAAATTTCAGTGAACACAATTCCACACGTTGATAAAGATTTTGACACTCTCAAAATTTCAGTTAGGCAACCTAGACTTGTTCATAACATATATTATTAAGCCAAGTCCTCTTGCTGCTTTGCAGGTGGCATCTGTGGTTGGTCTGTACTTACTAAACTTGAAATCCTTCAACTAAAAATCTAGACCATTCACTGTTGGGAAATGTAGAACTTTCCTGTCAAGTCAAAATATATGATTTTTTTCTAATGCCATGAGGTACTTGCTTAATTTAATGAATGGTGGCTCTGGAGACGGCTGTGGAAAGAATAAATTAGACTCTTTTTTCATCATGGTGAGGGGGTTTTGCTTCTCTAATGAGGTGTATCACAAATGCTCCTGTGAATGAAAAGTGTCATAGCAACTAATAACTGCTGTCCTTTTTCTTTTTCTCTCTTTGGTAGTCAAGGCATCACATTTTGTTGTTCTCTTCCAAGGCATACCCTTTTGGAACAAACTGATTTGTTTGGTAGCAAAAAAGTAAATGAAAAAAATATATATTTTACCCTATTTCTGCAGCTTTACATACTTAAAAGTAAAAATAATTAATTTTAAATGAAATGTTGAGATTTTTGCTTAATCTTTATTTTAGTTTTTAATGAATCATCCAATTACTGCTTAAGCATCTTTTAAAGTTTTATTTTGCTGAAAAGAGACTTTTCTGAGAAGCTGAGATATCAGAAACTGTGGCTTAAATCCCTTCTGATTTTGAGACTCTGAAGTTCAACCAAGACATAGATCTTTACTAGAGAGGTTTTGACAGACATTTCTGTCATTTCTGTGAAGCCTTTACCCATTATATTATGTTGTAATAAACAAGAGCCTTGCTGTAAAGTGAATGTGGCATTTCCATGAGTTCAGTACTTTCTTTGACTTGGAACAAGCTGTAAATTTTTCATACATCATTTGAATTTTCCAGATTATCACATTCATTTCTTTCCATCTATTTATTGGTTTGTTTGTTTATCAGTTCGTTTTGCATGGCAACTAGTGTAGTGATCTGAAATTATTCATTATGTTTAGCATAGCCAAATGGAAAATTGCCTCATCCTACAGCAAGTGAATGGAAATACATCATATCTCAACTCTCAGGCCCTTCACCATGCATTCAGTAGAATGCCTTCATAGCAGTTTTATGGTGAAATATACCATTTAAGTCAATTGTGTGAAGCTAGATCTTATGATAGGGCTACAATTAAATTCAGCCCAGTGCAAGGGGCTAAATCCCTAAATGCAGGAGTTGAGTGCAGATATATTCTTCAGTGAAATGTGGAGAATTCACCCACAGCAAGAACTCAACTTCCAAGATTGTCTTTAGCAAAAGCAGTTTTCACATGTGATTTAACACTGGATGAATATCATATTTATGACCAAGTTGAAAAGTTGAATTTCTCAAAGAAGGTGTGAGTGAAAAATCTGTATATAATAAGTAATGTAATAAATGTATTGTCATTAGCAGATATCATGTAAATATGAGTAGGGTTAAAACAGACTAACCCCCTCATTTTGATCATTGGAGGGACTGAAGGCAAGATTTTCATGCCTAAATGGCTGCAAACAGTTGGAGCTTCATTTTAGAGCTGCTGTTGGCTGGAGCAAATGCACAGAATTCCTGAAATTGAAACTGCTTCTGTTTAACCCTGCAATGTAGGTCTTGCTAAAGGATGTGAGCAGTGGCTGCTCTTTGAGATGACTTCCAAGAGGATGTTGGCCCTCACTTGGGAATGCTTTGTCCTAAGCAGTATCTTTGATAAAATAGACCAATTCATTTTGCAGTCATACTTTGCACATGACAGCACACCTTAAGCTCACATGAGAACATGCCAGGAGTTTTCTGCACATCTTCCTTCTTCTTAATAATTTTGAGTAGTGTATGGTTAAATCTCCTAAAAGGCAACTAATCTTTCAACGTGATGATTGACAGGTTCGTTGCTTGAAATCTCAGTCTGAGCTCTTTGTCATTGGTTATAAACATTTTCCCAAAAGAAAGTAGGCACAGGCTCTGGATCTTACTTTAATAAAGAAGTCCCATCCTTCTCTTCTTTACTGCTATAATTTAAAACTCTGACCCAGTCAACCCTTGAATGCAAATAAGTGAGCAATCTGGAGAAGCAGAATGTTGAACCATTCACTCAACAGCCTCTTCCAGAGTAGTCTTTAAAGACGTGCGTGACATTGGCCATTAGTGAGTCAGCAAAGATGAATGGGTCAGTAAATGAACATATTTCACTTTTTTCATCTGCCAGGATGAAACGCCATCTTAGTATTTTGTGTTGTTTTGCTTTTTTTGTTTGTTTGTTTGTTTTAATTTTTTACAGCAGTAATTTAAAAGGCATGCTGTCAATTCTCAATTCTTTTAATTGACTATTTTTTTAAGATTTTTTTTTTTTTCCTGCTGTGTGTAATCCTTTAATCTGGTTGGTCTTGAGGATTTTGATTTTTTGTTTTTTGTTTGTTTTTCTTTGAGAATTCCTTACAAAAGGTCTGGATTTATGATTTTTTTGTGCACAAATGGAGAATATGAATGTTCAACATCACATTTTAAACATTGCATTAACAGACCTAGTAAAACTGCATCCAGGAAAAAAAACAAAAAAACAAAAAAACAACTATATTCTGTTAGGAGTTGTGTGAAACCAACATGATTTTTAGCAGCATGTACAATTTATTGAAATACTTTCAGTCATCATGGAAATCCAGAATATGTGTGTGTATGTGTGTGTGTGTGTGTGCACGTAAAACGTATCTTTTCTATTCAGGGTCTTTAAAATTATTAAAAAATTGTCTGACATCCATCAATAAGAAAAGAAGTGCAGCCTATTGTGTTATTGGTATTCTTGGGAACAGGTTTTCTTCTTGCAGCTTTTTAACCAAAACATGAATGATTCATTTTAGGTATTATCTTTTGAACATTGTGATATCAAAAGCAAATTAAAAAAGAAAAGAATTAAAGTTTAATTTGCAGTTTTACATTTACAGATGAGGGTAAAAAGGTATTTTGATACTGACAACAAATTCCTTTGGATGGTTCTGTTTTATTTTCAGAGCCACCAGGGTTCTTATTTTATTTTTTGCTTTGAATTATTTACTTCATTATTATGGGTTACCTTCACAGTGCTTTATGGTGTTTTGATCAGCAATTTATCTTGCAGTCTTAAAATGTGTCCATTTCTGTGTTTAGCTGACCAGCTGCCTTCCTTTCCTTTTTTTTTTTTTAAATGTGACATAAAAATTGAGTGTTTCTTTGCAAGCATCTTTCAACTCAGAAAACGCATCTTGCTTCCTCTGCTGCTAAACTATTGCCCTCTGAAAGGGAAGCCCTGCCCCATCTTGCAGAAGAGGCAGAGCAGCCCCACTTGCTCGCCAAGATTCATTCCCCCCTCTCAGCCCCTCCCCACAAAGAGGTGAAGTCCCCTGGGTCCGTAATTGCCAGGAGATGAAGCGATGATGGCGAGTGATCACAGTCAATAGCTTTGATTAACAATAAGGTGGAAAATTAGCAATGCTAGCATTCAGCTCCCCTGCCTCCCCGTCCCCATATGCTCACAGCAGCCTGCACAGGCTGGTGGGCCGGTTGCTGCACGGCACAGGCTGCAGAGAGGGAGCTGAGGGGCAGGAGAGCTGGGAGGGCAGCGAGGGGCAGCGGGCAATATTTGGGGGCCTGGGGCAATGCTGGCCACCTTCCATCGGGCATCGCCATGCAGTTGGGAGGACACCGTGCGCCACGCACTGGCCCTTTGGCTCTTGCTGTCATGTGTGGATTTAATTGTGTCTGGACGTGTTTTGATCAAAATGGCAACTCCTGTTACTCCTGTGACCCCATCAGCAGCTCTGGTGTTGTTTCCGACAGACTCTGACGACCTAGAGAGGGGGAACGACAGCGGGACGCCACTCCCCACCTCTGATAATGGTGACAATTCGCTGGGCTACACAGGTAGAGTGCATCTTTCCGAAATACTCCTGACTGCCTCCTTATGACACTTTCCACCCACATCTACCATTAACACCTGTACACATTTTTTAACCATCATTGCTGGCTAGCTTTCTTTCCCCATCACCCTTGAAGCTCAATGTTGTTAGTACTGTTGGGAATTATTCTTTTTAACTCACCAAGATGATTGTCTTTTATTGTGTGTTACAGTGTATTTCAAATATTCAAGTGTTTAAAATCCATTTCTACTAATGAAAACAATACAACAGTTATTTTCCTTTAAATTGTGTATATTACTGCATGAGGTAACATCACCTCGTAGCAATTTTTCCAAAGACCATGCACAGGAATTTTTCCAGAAGGATTTTTTTTTTTTAATTCCCTCTTCCTGGACCCCTTCCTCACTGTGCTTCATTTCTATTGAGAGCAGAACTAAAATGTATTGCAGTGGGGAGAAAAAGATCAAATTAAACTAAGATGCAATTGAAGAAGAGTCATAACTACTGTTTTGCATGAACTGGAGAAAAGCCTCTCTAGGTCAAATAAAAGAGGCTCCAGATAAGCAGCATCATGCTGTGTGGTGCAGCAGGGACCCTTAGGGGGCCAGTTCTGCAGCTCCTGAAGTGACACCCAGCTCCAGGAGCTGTGCTGCCTACTGCATCTGGACTCAGCTACGGAACCACTGAGTGGAGCTCTCTTGAAAGATGTCTGCTCCAGAACAGTGGCAAGACCTAGACCTCAACAAGTTTTAGATTGCAAAGGTAAGTATTAAGTATTCTAGTGGTATAAACTTTTGGAAAGCATGAAGGGTGAGTTGAAAATTTAACTGAAAGGTGTTCTGTAAATACTTTATCATTGGGCTACTAGTGCAATTACTGCTCACACCATACAAAATTGTATATATTCAAGTGATTAATGAAAGTGTTGTATTCAAATATTCATAAATAAGACAGTCTTACTGAATATAAAAAGAGAATAGCAGGTATAAAAAAGGGAGTAATGTCTTATCCATTCAGAGTAGTTCAGATCTGTTATACACCACTTAGATGATTACAGCTTTCATCACCTACTCTCTGCAATCATCCCTGCATGTGATTTAAAACCTTGACACATAATTGTATTCCAGTTTAAAGTACATTTTTATAAAAGGGTAAGAAGGCAAAGCAATACAAATCCACCCCGAGTCAAGAAAACTGATGCCTTCTTAGAAACACATAGGAACTGTGGTGTATGTGAATTACTTGGACTTCACTACCATTTGTGAATATTCCCTTTTTTTTTTTTTTCCTAAGTCACTTCCTTTACTTCCTCTCTCTGAGTTTGGAACATCTATCCCCCTTATATATTTGGGTTCATCTTATTCAAAAAATGCATCTTCTTTTAATGTACTGCAGTATTTTTTTCTTCAGAAAACAGGTCTGAGAATGGTACTTCTTAGGTCCTGTGTTTCAACAGCCTTTTTTGGGACGATGACCCTGCCTGTATTGTTAATGTAGTCCCCCCAGTTTTAGCTGGGGGCCCCTCCTTGGCATGAGCATGGCTGCAGTACTGCAGCATACTCTGCACAGAACGGGCATGGGTGGCTGCCTCAGGCCCACAGCCCACAGAGCTAGGAGAGGGACTTCCACAGGCCCCCCATTAGCAGGTATCATAGATTCATAGAATCATTCAGATTGGAAAGGTCCTCTAAGGTTAACGAGTCCAGTCATCAACCTATCACCATCATGCCCACTAAACTGTGTCCCTCAGTACCACATCTACATGTATGCGTCTGCGGGATGCCCAGCAGATCATTTCTGAGGAGGGATAGAGATTTCTCTCCTTCCCTGGGATAGGACTCAGCCCTGCGAATACAGCCAGGTGGATGACAGCAGACAATTACCACTCAGTTCCCCTGAACAGGGAATATGTACATAAGGCATATACGGCAATGTTTAAAGGCAATAGCTCCCTTCAGACTATAGGGATGTGGGAGGATTGCCTGAGCAGATTGTGGACTCTTCTGCGTCCCTCTCAGATGATGCCCATTTGAACACGAGCACCACATCCAAGACTCTGTATTGCCACTGCTGAACCTGTCTCCAAGAGACTCACAGAGGTCACTGGGGAAGACTGAAAAAATCAGACCCCAATCTAGTCACTCCCTGGAGGCTCTCAGGATGTTAACTCAAAGGCCGTGTTTTAATAGGTATTTTTCAAGAAAACACAAAGGTCAGGATCAAGTTAGAAGCAAACATAAGCTGAAGAAATAGAAAAGCTTAGACGATGGCTCTTTTTAATTGGAGTCTTCGTGCCTCTATTTGAATGAACACTGAATGAAGACCAATTTTTTTTTCAAGTTTAAAGATTTAATTATCAATTGTTGTTCCTCCTCTATGTAATAATAATCACTTGCACAATGTGTGTGTGCTTCAGCTTATATAGAAAAGGTCTAGGGTATTTATTAAAATTAAACTATCAGGTTTCTATAGCAATCAGTAAGGATTTATAAAAATAATGTTAGCTGTAATATGATCTCATAGGTGAAGTTACTTTTTAAAATTTGTCCTAATTCACAGGCCTAGCTGATGCTGTAATATGGAATTCCTGGATTTTACAGATGTATTTTTTGTTCTTTCTTGCCTATAGAATTTCATTCTCCAAGAGAAAAACCATTCCAGAAGTTATTTATGCTGAAAACTACCTGACCCTTTCCTAAAATCATTTACATAATTTTTGCATTTAGAGGATGTCTAGACCTATTGGCCAAAAAAAAAAAAAAGAAAAGAAAAAGAAAAAGAAAAAGAAAAAGAAAAAGAAAAAGAAAAAGAAAAAGAAAAAGAAAAAGAAAAAGAAAAAGAAAAGAGTTTTGTTTGAATTCTGTATTTGTCGTGTCTGAATGCGCACAAACCAAAGCTAATGAATGATGTCATACTGTAGGAATGTAATTTTGGGGGTCATATTAAGAGCCATTATACATCTATAGGATGCTTCTACCTTTCAGCTCTCCATAACTAGACAAATGAGGAAAACATCTGCTTTTGTGGGAACTTGCAGAGTTAAAAAGTATTTTTTTCTATGTATTCTTCTTTCCATATATGTTTTTCAGGATGAACACATGCAGATGTTTCATACGATTTTTAAGTGGATCTATGTGACTCCTACAAAGTGCTTCAGTATGATCTCTTGAAGGCCAATTAAAGTCAGGAGAAAATTTTTGTCTACCTTGCAAGGTGCTAATGTATCCATTCTGGATCTGCGTATACTTGCACAAAACAAATAGGAAATACGTCACTTTAAGAGAGAGTAGAGGAGTGGCCAGCTCAAGCTTATTCAAATAAACACTGAAATTACTGATAAAATTTAGATCAGTTGTTATGGGAAAATGATCAGTTTGTGTATGAATTTTCATGATTTTTAGTACATTATAGCACCCGACTCCAGACTTTTTTTCCCCTGGTCAGTACAGTAATGTGGTATACACTGTGGCACATTTGCATATTATCAGGTTGTTATTATCACAGTAATTACAACTGGACTCAAACAGAGAGACTGTTATACATATATGTATTAAAGATAATCAGTGTTGGAAAGCATTTATAATTTAAGTAACTAGAGGGTGGAAAAAGTCTAGAAAGGATGAGGTATAACTGCACCCATTTATTCTCTGAGACTTTAATCATATTTGTGGCACTGCTGTTAGACAGAAGGAGATTGCAAGGTTTTCTATCGCGTATTTGATACAAGAGAAATGCTAAGAATGTAAAACATTTAAAAGCTGGTGTGATCTCTTGGATACCATATTAGAGGTTCTATACATATCTGGATTGATTCAGCAAAGGAATTAGGGTTTAAAACCAAAATCTTTTAACTATAAATATGTCATTTAAAGAAATGGACCCATAAGATTTCCTTGTTGGTATCTTTACAAAAGACCAATTCCACTCTGTCATGGCCACATTGGAAAGTAATTGTATTAAGATGGGCAATAATAAAAATCTAAATGACTATTTGAACTATGTGCATAAGCAACAGCCCAGTATGGAGTGATTTTCAATAGCATGAAAGCATATTATTTAAATACTCTGTGTTGTGTTTAATTTACTCTAAGGAAGATGCCTAAAGTAGTTTTCTAAAATACTCTCTAAATATATCTGTTTCTCTGCACAGAGTAAGGAAATCTTAGGTGGTTAGCATGATTTAGAGATCTAAAAATGGTGGTAATATATCTTACCACTTCCATGAGTTTGGACCTAGATTCTGAAAGGAGAACAAGGTAGTAGGAGTGTGCACTGGAGAAAACGATGACCAGAGAAGGCAGAGGGATAGAAGTAATAGCTCAGTTCTTTGTCAAGCTCAGGCCACAGAGATGTCAGACAGACTAAGACTATTGTTTGGACAGTTGTTAGAGTGGAAAGAAATCCCTAAGTTACCCATCACTGGTTCTCTTTTTTTTTTTTTTTTTTTGTTAAAATCCCTTAGGTACATACAGAGACAAATAGAAAAGGAAAGGAAGCAAGAAAAAAAAGTGTAGGAGACTTCCTACTGAATATCAGAGGGGATACATGGAAAATTATCCAAGTAAGATAGCAGAGGAACTCTGTATAGGAAGCAGATGGAAAATTTGGAAAGATGTTCATAGAAGGAATAGTGTTAAATAACATCAAGATTTCCATGAGAAAATCTTGTGGTTATTGATCAATAGGAGCGTGATGTGCTGAGTGATGTTCCCTTGTGGCTGAGAAGTTTTGAGAGCCACAGTCCTGCAGCAGGGATTGAGAAAACTAGAATGAGAAGACTGGGTAAAGTAGTTTTGACTAAAACTATAAAAAGTATTTTTCTGTTTAATATTTTATTCATGCTTCTGTAGGAGGCAGATTTACAAGAAAAGATTAAAGTAATTAATATTTCCACATAAAAGTTCCCATGTGTTTTGCCACCCTGTTCAGTAGAATAGCTGTTCATTCTTAGCTGTTAGGCTTCCTTTTTCATCCTCAGAATAGTGCAAAGCAGTTAGCATTGAG